TTCCCAGCCCTTCTGCCTGCTAACAATAGACAAATAAAATAATAAAAGCTCCTCTTTTCAAAAGCCATTAGAATAAAATAAAAACCCTCTGCAAACAATCTGCGTTTTATCTTCTTAATGGCCCCAAAGCCTCCACTTGTCTACAAAAACAATTTCACTCAGCAAGGGTTGAGGAATATTCCTTTCAAATGGTGCACCAGCTGTCCCACAGAGACCACTCCACAGTTAACTACCAATAAAAGCAATTTCACAAACTAAACACTCATTAAATAACGCGTGCGCGGAGCCCGGCGTCGTTCTCAGACGAGGGATGGGATTTGCTGTAATTTAACCTTTAACGGCACCAGAGGGCTGTTCCCGTCTCCATGGCAGGGCTGGCTCCAGCCACAGTCCATTGGAGAGGGATTGTTTTGTTTGTGCTATCTTGGAAATCAGATCCTATAAACTCAGCACAGGCTGAGCTCCTGCCCGGCCGGCCAAAACCCCCCGGTGTTGCTCAAGAGGTCGGCGCCGCTTTCCGGTCAACCCCAGCGTGTCCAAGACAAACAGCCCTGTGTCATCTGGGCTCCATGTCATCCCAGCTCTTCGGGGACGTGCAGGTCGCCCTTCTCCACCAGCTCTGCCTGCACAGAGCTTCTGCAGCCTCCCAGGGCTGGTGTCCACCCGTTGGATTTGGGACGGGAGCGCTGGGAGCGCGCGGAGCCTTCCCAGCCCCACACACCACACCAGGGCTCATGGCTCGCCCCACCCTCCTGGAAGAGGGTGGTTGGTGTTGGGATCGACTGAAAGCTGCCACAGCTCCCCAGGATTTTGCTCTAAGCCAGCTCCAGGGATGCTCAGAGGGAGAGAGGGAGGGGGAAGCAAAGGCGTGCTGGAGGCCCCGGCACACAAGAGCAGCTCGCTTGGACCATGAAGGTGCTTTCCTCTTGTTTGTGCTTAGCTGTGCAAGTTCACTGCCAAGAGGGAGAGGATCCACCCAGATTCCCCAGCCCTGAGCAGCTGGGAGCTCGCTGAGGCCAAGGGATGAGCATGGAAGAGCAGCCAGGAGAGGTGGATGGGAGGAGGGAAATGAAACCACTGATGAGAGCGGCTGCCAGGGATGGGGAAGTGTTAGAGGTGTCATGTCTGGGGCACCTCTTCCCTTCTGCCTTCCCTGTCCTGCGGTGAAGGAGGCTCCTGACTCATTCCCTCTTTGAGTGTTTCTAAACATTTCCTTTTATACCCTATAATTGCGTTTTTGTACCAGAAACCCTCTGGAGTGAACATGCTTCTTCTCTCAAGACTCCTCTCCAATGCGAGTGGAGAGACACTAATTGCTCTGTCAGGGTCTCCAGGGCTCTCCTCAGTGTTGTTAGCTATCAAAAACGTGTTCTTAATTTGAGCACTTGGCCCAAATATTTCATTTTTAATTACAAGCCGAGACAGAGCGTAAGACAGCCCAGAGCAACAGCGAGAGCTCCTCCCACCAAGCCAGCAGAGACTGGGGGGCTCTCACACCGTCCTGGGGGCCAGGCAGAGGGGAACCCCCTGAGAGAGGGGGAGACAAACCCCAGCCCTGGCATGAGGCTGTGCCCAGGGGGGAGGTGCTCTTTGGAGAGCACGAGGACAGCAAAAACAACCACCAATATCATCATCATCACCACCATCACCATCATCACCATCACCACCATCACCGCCATCAGCAGCAGCAGCACTACCACCACCATGCACGACCATCACCATCACCATCACCATCATCACCATCATCACCATCATCATCACCACCATCACCACCATCACCGCCATCACCATACCATCATCACCATCATCATCATCATCACCACCACCAGCACCACCAGGACCAGCACCACGCAGGGAGAAGATGGCCCTGCTGCTCTGGGTCCCAGCTGGAGCAGGAGCAGGAGCAGAGCTGCAGGGCTGCTCCTGGCACGTCTGTGCTCTTGTCAGTGAAGCAGCAAACGCAGAACTTGGCTCCTCCAGCTGATCTTTTCCTTTCCTTTGTGACGCTGTGTAGCTGCCTTGGTGTTTAATCCTGCTAATTAACGGCAGCGAGAAGGGGATAATTCTCATCTCCTCCCTTTTGCAAACATGACAATCTGCAGGGTGGGACCGGGTCAGCTCTGCAGCATTTCAAGTGAAAAAGACAAAAAGCAGCAGACAGAGGCATTTACCTTTTGGCAAGTGCAAGGCATCTCTAAGGAAGATGGGTTTTAAATCCATACTGTGTGAAAGAATTTAAATTACATACTTAAAACTCCAAATATTGTAAGTTGCGTGTCTGGAAAAACAAGAGGAATATCCTTTGTTTATTAAAAATTGACTTTGAAAAGGACCTGGCTGGCTTCTATCTGAAATACAAAGGAAGTATTTCTTACTCTGAGATGTCATCATACATTTATTTAAAGCTTTAATTATATGTTTTGGGACATCATCTACGCCTGAACATTTCTCCACTGCAGTTGTCTGGAAGAAGGAGCTTTTTTTTCCCCCATCTTTAAATAGTAAATGAGGCAAATTATCTCATGGTAATTCCAAATGGTAATTTGGTTCCGCTGGAGCTGTCAGTGGCCTGTCAAAATAGTATTTCCAGGTTAATTTTAGGAACACATCCACCCCTTCCAGCAGGCTGGGATGAGTTCTGGGGTGGGAAGTGATGCTCACCTGCAGCCCAGGGACCCTGGCTGGGCAGAAAAAGCCATGAGCCAAGAAAGCAGAACACGAGGAGATGTGTGTGGGACAAGTTTCAGTGGGATCCCCCTGCTCCAAGGCACTCCAAGCCATGGATGAGCAGGGAAGCATCGCTGTGGCATTATGGAAGAACCACTGTGGCATTATGGAGCACCACTGAGTTGTTCTAAATAATGACAACAGTGATTTTGCATTGCAGCCAGTTGGGAGCTGGCAGTCCCAACTGCTTTGGGAAGGATTGTAGCACTTCAATTTATTACAGATTAATGGGATTGATTTATTATTTTTTTGTTTCTTTTTAATTAGCTTCATTAAAAGCCAAACAATCTTCCTGCAGAGCATGCAAACAAGAGGGGCACGGGCCCAGGCACTGCTGGTTCCTGGTGCCTTTGTCCAGAATTAGCGTTGCAAACCAGGGAAGATTTATTAATGGTTCCTGGGAGAGATTAGCAACGGGGAAACAGCTCAGGGAGGGTTAGGAGCCAAGCAAGTATCAGCCAGTTTTTGGTGGAGTGTTTGTCAAAAGTTGTTCTTTGAGCTTGAAGTGAGTCTGTGGGTGTCCTTCAACAGGCTGGGAGCCACAGAGCAGGGCTGGGGATTCATTTGGGTTTGGTGAATCCTGGGGTTTAACTTCATCTCGGCAACCTTTTTAAAAATAAGTTTAAAAAATAGAAGAAGAAGAATCCTATTGTTAGTCCCAGGCTGTTGCTTCATCCCGGGTTTATGATGTCAGTGTCTGGGGGAGCTGCCAGGTCCCCTGGCCTTGGAGGGGCTGAGCACCAGGGTGTCCCCAGGCAGAGTGTGCAGCTGCAGCACACCCCCTTTGCTCTCCCCGAGCCACCTGACAGCGAGCTGGCACTCATTCCCCCTGTTTGCACCCGACTTCATGTCCTGAAAGCTCTTTTTGTCCTCCTGAGAAGGACCAGCTCTGTGGCTTCCCATCCTGCAGACCCCACCCCAGCACCTCTGAGCAGAGCCCTTGCCTGCTCCACGCCTTTCCAGTACAGCACCCTAAAATTTCCTCTCTCAACACCTCCTGTCTGGTCTGGAGCCTGAAGGGATCCAGGTGCAATCATTTTACCAATTTTGTCCCCAAAGGGCACAGAAGGGGGGCACAGCTGGTGTCCCCAAAAGCCAAGCAGTGTGGGGAGCACATCCTCTCCTCCCACTGATCCTTGCTGGCCACAGCAGCACCAGCTGCACTTTGTGCTTATAAATCTTCTGTGGAAAACATGTAAAATTTGGTATTATGAAAAATAATAAAAAGAATAAGAAATTCAGAGCAAAACCACCCAAACCTGAAATCCAAACTCTCCAAATATCAAAAGACTGAGCAATTTTGAAGCTGCATTTCCAAAGGAGAGTAAGGTCCGTCTGTTAAAGACCAGAAGACCAAGAGGACGGGTGAGTTTGAGGTCCCCGCAGCCACCACGCAGCCCAGGGGATTGTTTTATCCCTCCTTCTGGATCAAGGGAGCACCTCGGACATCAGAAGCTCAGCCAGCATCCCCTGCGATGCCGATTTGCTCATTCCAACCTCCCCATCCCAGCGCTGGCACTTCCCAGAGCCTCCCCTCGCCGCGCTGCGCACCGCTCCGGCCGGCTGAAAACAAAACCGACTTCTGCCCTCTCTGCAGTTTATTTTCCGTCCTCCCTTCAGCACAGGGCCGGAGCCAGCCCAGTCTGGTCACGCTCCGCCAGTTTCTCCCCTGGCCGCTGCCTGCAGCCCGTCCCCGCCTGGGCTGCAGCCGGGCTCTCCATCCCGCAGGATGCTCCCAGCTCATCCCCACTGCAGGCAGCAGCTCCCTCAACTGTAGGGGGTTTTTTTAGGAATTAAGAAAATAAAAGCAGCCTCTGAACCATTTGCCAGCCCCAGGAGGGGCTGCAATCCCTGCTGTGGGGGGGACAGAGCCCGCAGACACCAGAGGGGCTCCAGCACCCCCTCCCCATTCCCACACAGCCCCCGGCACCGCAGCAACACCCAGCACCCTCCAGCGCTGCCGGAGCTCCCTCCGCACCCACTTTCCTCCTTCGGGAGAGGGGACGCAGCCCCCGGAGGAGCGGGCGGGGGACCCGCCACCTGCGGGGGGGTCGGGCGGAGCTCCCCTCCGCCGCCGCCACCGGCACCGGCACCGGGCCCGTGTCCGGGGGAGGCTCCCCCGCTGCCCCCACCCCCGCTCCCCGCGCCGGGCCCCGAGCGCCCTGCCCGGTCCCCGCCCCGAGGTGCCCGCACCCCGGCTCCGCCGCTCGAGCTCCCCCGTGCGCCCTGCCCGCCCCGCCAGCGCTCGCTGCTGTCCTGTCCCCGTCCCTGTCCCTGTCCCCGTCCCCGTCCCCGTCCCCGTCCCCGTCCCCGTCCCCGTCCCCGTCCCCGGCCATGCCGGGCCCGCGGCGGGACCGCCCGGCCGTGCTGCTGCTGCTCGGGGCGCTGCTGGCCGCCGACCTCTACTTCCACCTCTGGCCGCGGGCGCGCCGGGAGCTGGGCCGGGTCCCGCCGGGCTGCCCGTGCCCCGCGCCGCTGCCCCGCGCCGCCCCGGCGCTTCTCCTCCTCTTCGCCCACCGGCTGTACCGCGCCGCCGCGCCGGGCCCCGCCGAGCCGCTGCTGGGCGCCCGCGAAGCGCTGCGCTACTACCGGCGGAAGGCGGCCCGCTGGAACAGGTGCGTGCGCCCCGCGGCACCCCGCGCTCGGCTCCGCGCAGCGCCGCGGGGCTGGCTCCCGGGCGCCGCGCAGGACACCCCCTTCCCTCCTTTCCCGGCACCCCCTTCCTGAGCTTCTTCTGGGCACCCCCTTCCTGGGCATTTCCTGGGCACCTCCTTCCCCAGCACCCCCTTCCTGGGCATTTCCTGGGCTTCTCCTTCCCCGGCACCCCCTTCCTGGGCTTCTCCTGGGCATCTCCTTCCCCAGCACCCCTTTCCCGGCTATTTCCTGGGCATCCCTTCCTTTAGCACCCCGTACAGGAGCATCTGCTGGCACTCCCTTCCTTTCCCGGACATCTCCTGGGCACCCCCTTTCCCGCCACCCCCTGCCTGGGCACCTCCTGGGCACCTCCTTCCCCAGTTCCCCCTTCCCGGACATCTCCTGGGCACCTTCTTCCCCAGCACCCCTTTTCTGAGCATCTCCTGGGCACCCCCTTCCTGGGCATCTCCTGGGCACCTCCTTCCCCAGCACCCCTTTCCTGGCTATTTCCCGGGCATCCCTTTCTTTAGCACCCCGTACAGGGGCGTCTGCTGACACTCCCTTCCCTTCCCGGACATCTCCTGGGCACCTCCTTCCCCGGCACCCCCTTCCCGGACATCTCCTGGGCACCTTCTTCCCCGGTACCCCCTTCCCGATTATCCCCTGGCTGCTCTTTCCCTGGGCGCTCCCTTCCCGGACAATCCCTGTGTGGGCAGATTCTGGGCACCCTCCTACCGGGCACCCCTTGCATGATCCCTCGTTTCCTGGGCATCTCCTGGGCACCCCATTCTTGAGCACACACTGCACTGGCATCTCCTGGCCACCCCTTTCCCGGGTGTTTTCTGAGCACCCCTGCATGGGCACCCCTTTCCTGGATATCTCCTGGACACCCCTTTCCTGAACACCCCTTTCCTGGGTTTTCTGGGTTTCCTGGGCGCCCCTTGCATGGGGACACATTTCTGTGGCATCACCTGGGCACCCTCTGCATGGTCACCCCTTCCCTGGGCACCCCTTTTTTGGAACCCCCATGCTTTGGGATCTCTGGAGCACCCCGTTCCCAGGCACCCTCTGTGAGTGCACCTCCTGCATCCCCTGGGCACCCCCTGCACGGGTACCCCTGCCCTGGCATGCCCTGGGCACACTCTGCCCAGGCACTCCCTGTATGGGCACCCTCAGGCACCCTCTGTCTGGACACCCCCTCTCAGGTACCCTCCCTTTCTGGGCAGCTCTCCTGGGCACCTCTGTCCCTTGGGTGTCCCCTGGCACCCCCAGTCCAGCTTGTCCCCCCATTCTGGCTCTGTGCCCTCACCCCTCCAGCCCCCATGGCAGGGCTGAGGGGCCCTGCTGGGATGCTCCTTCCTGGGGTGTCTCCCACCCTGCTCCACTGGCACAGCCCCAGAGGAAGGGACCCCCAGCTCAGAGCCCTCTTCCTCCTGCCTCTCCCAGCCCAGCAAGGAGGAAACTCCCTCATCCCCTGCTCCTGGGGTGGGACTGTCCCTGCCCTGTGCTCACTGTCCTGGGGGGGACAGGGACCCTCAGTGCCAGCTCCAGGCATTGATTATCTGTACCTTGAATCCCTGATCTAACCCCTTCCACGAGCATACAGCACCCCACAGCTGCTCCCTGCACCCCCAGAACTTCTCCATTCGTGCACAAACTCAGAGCAGAGCACAGAGCTCATGGCATCACCTCACCCACTGTCCCCTCTGTGGGGCAGGACACCTGCAAGGGGATGAGAGCATGTCCTGGGCACACCCAGGGACCCCTGTCCTGGCACTTCCCCACTGCCCAGCTGTGGTTTCCACGTGGGAGCAGCCCCCAGCCCTCCCATCCCCTCTGTGGTGGTTGCTGAGCTGCACAGGCAGGATTCCAAGCTCCTGCTCTCTCCACTTCCATGCCTGTTCCTCCTGTTCCTGTGGAACTCACCCAGTGCTGGTTCCACATGAGGTTTGCTGGAGGAGATGATGGAAGGAGCAGAGAATGATCTTCATGGCCTGAGCAGCACCAGGGTCTGGAAGCACCGTGGGGCTCAGCCAGGGCCACCCCTGCCAGGCTCTTCCCTGTCTCCAGTCACTCTGGATCCTGTTGAATCCTTTGTCACAGCACTCAAAATCCATGGCTGGTGGGTTTGAGTACCCCTGGCTGTGCCACAGACCCACCTTGGGTGCATCTTCTCAGAGCTGAGCACTGCCTGCTGAAGACATCAGGATCTGGGTACCAGGGTGGATGTTTCCCAAGCAAAATCCCAATGGGAATTGGGGATTTAAACCAAAGCAGCTGACAGCTTGATGGCACCATCAGAAGCCCTGAGCACTTGCTGCAGCCTCTCTTGCAGGACAGTGAGAAATCTGCACTCCTCAGTTTTATTCACCACGCTGTTAAAAGATGGAATTTGTGCTGCAGCCATGGCTGCACTTTGCCTCCTGCCCCAGGGTTTGGCTGTGGTGTGGCTGGGAGGAACACAATGATGCCATTTGTCCTTGACTTCACTTTGCACCTCCAGGAAGGGAAGGAGGCAGAGTATTGATTATTCCTCAGTCACTCTGAAATCAAATATATGATGCTCATAAATGGGTGAAACCTCCAGGGAGCACAGGCTGAGGTGACACAACTGCTCCTGCAGAAACCTCCCAACAACCATCCCTGCTGCAAATTGAACGAGTAATGAGGTGGCACTCACCAGAGCTGATGGATTTTATAAGATTGTTAATTTGCTGTGGGCACAGAGGAATTTCTGCCTCACCTGCAGAGCCCGTGTCCTGTCTGATATGGCCAGGGTCTTCGTGGGACTCAGGAATTCATGGCTTTTTCTCCCACTGCATGGGTTCAGCCAAGCTGCTGCTGCAGAGGCCTGAAGAGCAGAAAGTCCACAGCAGCCCCACGTGCAGAGCCAGGCCTGAGTGTCCAGGGGCATCCTCTCCTCAGCATGGCAGGATGACAGCACATTTCTCCACCACCCGTGGATGTGAGTGTTGGCAGAGCAGCTTTGGGAGCAGCAGGACGCTCCTCCTGAGTGGGACAAGCTGCAGTTTCACCCCGTGCAGTGTGTCTGCCTTCATTTCTGCAGCCAGATGGACATCAGCTGGACAGGGGCTCTGCCAGCTGGAGCAGCCCCAGGACACGTCCTGCTGGGACACCCATGGCCAGAGCGTGTCCTCCTCCAAAGCAGCTGCTGCCCAGCCCTGCCTGCTCCAGCACCTCAGCCAGGACCAGCAGCTTCACTGCAGGATGCAGAAACAGCTGGGGAGACTGATGGGGATGCAGGAAGGAAACAGAAAAAACAACAAAATATCCACACCTCTTCAAAAAAGAAAAAAAAAATCCCTTAAAAACTCCAGAGCTGATTTTTATCCTTGAAGGAGCAGCTTCAAAACCCCAAACTCAGGATGGTGGTGGCCTGAGCAGTGTCACCCCATGCTGTGCCTCCCTCCCAGCCCAGCAGAGAGCTGAAAGCCAGGGCAACCCCAGGGCTATTTATAGCAGGGTAGAAATGAACCCTGTTTTTATATCATTATGCCTTTTGCAGAGATCTGCTTTTTTTCCAGGGAAATATGTCAGGAATCCTGAAGGAAGCAGGGAGGCAGAGAGAGCTGTATTTTGGGTTGAAAGGCTGGGAAAGGACTGGCTCAGCCTGGGCAGGGACCATGTGGGTGCAGGGCTGGGATCTGCCTCCCCTTGCATAACCACTGCATTTTTTTCCCCCTCAGTAATCCCTTGCTCACTGCCACCCTGGGGGAGCAGCCTGTGTGTATGGCAGGCAGGAGAGCAAATATGGTAAAATATTTGGGCAGCTTCTCTAGGGAAAAATCCTGAGTCATTCCTGTCCACGGCACTGGGGTTTATCCTCCCTGGCTGTGGCAGGGTTAATGCCTCATTTATTAATTAAGGCCTTATTAATGCCTCACAACTCATTAAGGTTGTGCCTCACTTTTCCACAGGATAAGTGGGGGTCAAGGCATTTCTGCTGGAGCTGATGGCACCCAGGGCACTTCCTTGTGCACAGGGAATTTTCTGCCTCCTCTGCAGGCTGGAGCTGATGTTATTCCAGGGCCATTTCCATGTGCACAGGGAGTTTTCTGCCTCCTGAGCAAAGAGCTGGTCAGGGAGGGAAGTGCTCCAGGTCCCTCTGACCGTGCACACGTGGATTTCATGCTGTGGCTGGCCCAGTCCAATGGAAAGACAAACAGACTGGCAGAGGGAACAGGCTCCCACGAGCTGCACATCCAGCCTGTCTCTCCAGCTCCTAGAGGTTTCCCAGGATACCACAGTGTAGGAAATGGATTTGTGGGAAATTCTCAAAGCCTGACAGAAGGCTCACATAGTATGTGTCTGTATGTAAACCTTGAGATAAGACATGCTGGCTTAGAAATACTATGGAATAAGACATTATTGAGAGAAAAATAGAACTAAAGTTTCAAAGGATAATATTGATACACTATGTTATAAATGTTTTAAAGCAAATAATCTAAAATTACTCGTTGGAAGTCTTACTACAATGTATCTTTCATACTTCTATTTTTCTAAACTATCTACTTTTATTTGCAAGGCTATCCTTTAAAACTTCTTTTTAGCTCAATTTTTCTCTCAATAATGTCTGTCTTATTCCATAATATTTCTAAGTCAACATTTCTTATCTCGAAGTTTACATACACATACATACTATGTAAACCTTCTATCAAACTTAAAGAATTTTCTACAAATTCATTTCCTACACTGCTGGAACAGCTCTGGGAGGGTTCAAGCCCTGCTCACAGCCAGATTAACCACACTGCTCAGCCTGCTTGGATGGAGAAGGATGATGGAAATATCCCAACCAAAACCCAGCTGCTGGGCTGAGCAGGGAAATAAACCCCCAGCACTCAGGAGCCCTTTCCAGCCCCCAGTGCCATTCCTTGGCTGATAAAAGCCTCGGGGCATGGTCAGACCTCTCTGCTCAGGCTCTGGATGGGGTCTGGCCAGGCATGTGGCACTCCCCCCTGTCCAGCCCCTCCATGCCAGCCGTGGTTAATGTCCTACTCCTTATCAGCCCCCAGCTCCTGTTTGCTTTCCTGGATGGATCCTGGCACTTCCAGTGCAAACTGAACTTCATTTTCCCTTTATCAGGACTGGCTGCTCCATACACGGGCTGGACAATGTTAATGAGAAACCAAAGCTCTGTGCTCTGCTGGCTGCAATAAGTGACCTTGCCGTTCCACAGCCCCAGCCTTGGAGGATTCTATCACCGTTGAGCAAGAAATGACACAGATTCACACATTCTCCTGCTGGTTTGCAGGAGAAGAGCGTTTAATACAAAAAATCCTCTCTTTTATAGACACATTCGACACATTCTACTTGATTGGCTAAGTAATAAAAACATCTTTCCTCACTAAAATTCCTTGAGAAGAGCAGAAAAACAGAGTAGGAAAACACCACCTGCAGGTTGTTTGTACTCACAAGTAAACCATCGTTTTTCTACAAGTCCCTAAAAAAGTCTCACGAGTCCACTGGGAGAAAATGAAGCCCGTTTTCTCACTCTCTGACCGGGCTGTTGCATCCACTGGTCTCGAGGTTGAGGGAAATGCTGATTGAGAGGGGAGATGCTTTTGAGTTATTACTGAACTTAGGAGGCTCCTTCAGCTCCACCTGCCAAAAAAGGGTGGGGTTGAACCGTGATTTTTAGAGGTCATGGGCAGGATGCTGCCATGTGACCTCGTAGCATCCCCGCTCACTGTGAATTTGGTCACAGAGGCAATTTGTAGCTTTTAGTGATTTTTTTTTGAGGCTCCTTCAGCTCCACCTGCCAAAAAAGGGTGGGGTTGAACCGTGATTTTTAGAGATCATGGGCAGGATGCTGCCATGTGACCTCGTAGCATCCCCGCTCACTGTGAATTTGGTCACAGAGGCAATTTGTAGCTTTTAGTGTATTTTTCTCCCCCCAACTTCAGGGAAAAAACTCTCTCAGAGATGGTCAGATGTCACTGTGATATTTACGGGAAAAATCCCCTTGCCCAGGATTTTCTCCTGGGAAGCTGAGAAGCCTCAGTTTCTCCTGTGTTTTTGCTGCTTTGGAATGTGATTTGGAGATTGTTTTCCAACATGTGAATTGTTTTTACTTAATGACCAATCACAGCCAGCTGTGTCGGACTCTGAGGAGTCAGTTGCGAGTTTTCATTATCATTCTTGCTAAGCCTTCTCATGTCTCTTTTCTTTTTCTTTAGTCTCCCATTCTATAATATATGATATGATATGATATAACTTTCTATTCTATTCTTTAACATAATATATGTAGTGTATAGTAAATGGTATATAGTATATAGTATAGAATAGAATGTAATATATAATATAATATTATATTATATTACTATATAATATATATTATATTATGTGATATATTATATTATGTAATTTAATATCATATATTATATAGCATATAATATATAGTGTATAACATAGTATATAATATATGCTGTGTAGTATATAGTATAGAATAGAATGTAAAGATAATATATAATATAATATAATATAATATAATATAATATAATATAATATAATATAATACTTTCTATTTTATTATTTAACATATTATATATTATATAATATATAGTATATAATATATGCTATGTAGTATATAGTAAATGGTATATAGTATATAGTATAGAATAGAATGTAATATATAATATTATATTACTATATAATATCATATAATGTATTATATTATATGATATAATGTAATAAAATAATAATATAATATATAATATATTGTGTTATATATTATATTATGTAATTTAATATAATATATTATATAGCATGTAATATATAGTATATAATATAGTATATCGTATATGCTATGTAGTATATAGTATAGAATATAATGTAAATATAATATAATATAATATAATATAATATAATCATATCATATCATATCATATCATATCATATCATATCATATCAGCCTTCTAAGAACATAGAGTCAGCTTCATCTCTCCCCTTGTCCTGGGTACCCTGACAAAGACCACACCCAGAGACTCTGACCATCCCCTGCCTCAGTTTCCCCTTACCCACCCCGCGCTCTGCCCCGGGCACCCTCCATCCTCGGAGAAGGACCTTTCCCACATGCTCTCGGCCTCTCTTGCAGGAGACACAAGCTGTTCCGGCAGGAGCTGAACCTGTCCGCCCCGGCGCTGCCGCTGCGGCCCGAGGCCGGCTGGCTGCGCTTCCAGCTGGGCATCAGCCGGGACGGGCTGTACCCGCGCTCCAGCCCCGCCGTCAGCAGGCTGCTCCGCGACCTGCGGGACCTGCCCACCATCGGCGCCGGTGAGCACCGCGCCGGGGCTGGGCACTGCCTCGGGGGAAGTGCCTGCGTTGTGGTTGGCTTTTGGCAAATATTAGAATGAATATTTTGTGTCCCCCCTGCCTGGGGCTGGGCACTGCCTCGGGGGAAGTGCCTGGTTGTGGTTGGCTTTTGGCAATTATTAGAATGAATATTTTGTGTCCCCCCTGCCTGGGGCTGGGCACTGCCTCTGGGGGAAGTGCCTGGGTTGTGGTTGGCTTTTGGCAAATATTAGAATGAATATTTTGTGTCCCCCTGGCTGGGGCTGGGCACTGCCTCTGGGGGAAATGCCTGGTTTGTGGTCGGCTTTTGGCAAATATTGAAATGAATATTATATTGTGTTAGTTACGCTGTATTAATTTAATCAAGTAGCATGTTGCATATAGTTTTAGGTTATAATATAATGTTAAAATAGGAACTATGTATGTGGGATGAAGGAATGAGGTACTCACACCAGACAGCAGCCACAGGACACCTAAATCTTTCAGAGAAAGAGAATTTATTGCTCTTTTATCAAAATAAACAAACTTCTTCCCACCTTGCTCAGCCCTGATGATGCTGTTAGGATTCAGAGGAAGAAGCTGACGCTGACCAGACAGAATCCTTTGTTTGAATAGAAATTATGCATCATGTATGAGGTGTATGAATATGCAACAGGCTATTGCTTTTAAGGGTTAATCCTCTGATAATGGGTGTCCTTTTTCAGGCTTATTTTGCCCAGAAAGAGGTACCTGGACTGTCCCTAACTCTTTGTTTCTTATTGTCTCATATTGTCCTAATCCAAGTTGTCCAAACTTTTATTACTCTAATTATATTACTATTTTTATAACCATTTTATTACTATTGAACTTTTAAAATCTTAAAAACAAGTGACTGGCATTTGTCACAGATCCTTGGAGCCTGCCAGGGGGTCAGCAGCAAGAGATGGAGCCTGGCGTGCAGCCCCACATTTCTCTTCACAGAGAAAAGCAAGGCACAATTCTTCCCAAGAATATTCCTGAGACTCGCATTCTCTGAACCTCAGAGAAAGGAAAACCAGTTTTTATCATTTGCAGTGCCTGTGTTTGTGCAAAAGTAGAATGCAGCATGGAGACTGTTGACCCAAAGTGATGATGTTTTTCTTCCTTGGCCTGTCAGGGCCAAGCGTGTGTGTCAGGACTGTCAGCTGACAATTGTCTTTGTGTTCATGGGTCCCAGGACAAGGGAAGAGATGAATCTGACTCCATATTTTTTAGAAGGCTGATTTATTCTATTATGATATTATATTATATTTAAAATGCTGTACTAAAAAAAGAGAAAGGAGACATCAGAAGGCTAGGAAAGAAAAGGAATGAATAATAAAACCCGTGGCTCCTCAGAGCCATCAGATAGTTATTGTTTACATGTCTTTTCTGAGGCTTCTCAGCTTCTCAGGAGAAAAATCCTGGCGAGGGGATTTTCATAAAATATCACAGTGACAGATCAGTGCCGTTGTGTGCAGAGTTGAGTGCTTGGCAGATTCAGTTTAGATGTAATGTAACATAGTGTAATATAATATAGAACAATATAGTATAATAAAGGCATCAATTAGCCTTCTGATAAGATGGAGTCAGATGCAACATTTCTGTCCCCCTGTTGGGGATGCCTGTGAATGCTGCACTGGGGTCTCACTGCTCCTCCTGCTATGCAACATTTCTGTCCCCCTGTTGGGGATGCCTGTGAATGCTCACTGCTCCTCCTGCCCTTGCAGACTACAGCCAGGATGAGAAGGCACTGCTGGGAGCCTGTGACTGCAGCCAGGGTGAGTGTGGCACTTGGGGTCCCCACGTGCCATCCCCACTGCTCCATCCTCAGCTCGGCCAGGGAATGCCCAGCCAGCCTCTGCTCCCTCCCATTAACCCAGCATGGATCATGGAGCATGGAATCATTCCTGTAAATTATTCCTGCAAAAGGATGGAGCCCAACCCAAGGAATTATTCCTGTAAATTATTCCTGCAAAAGGATGGAGCCCAACCCAAGGAATTATTCCTGTAAATTATTCCTGCAAAATGATGGAGCCCAACCCAAGGGCCACGTCCACGCTGTTTTTAACACCCAGGAGTGGTAATTCCACCACTGCCATGAGCAGCCTGTTCAATGTGGGTGTCAGGACACCAGTACAGTACTGGTTTCTGCTGGGGAGGGAGGAAAAGGTCCCCAGGGGGATGTAACAGAGGGGCTGAAGGGAAATCTGCTCTATGGCACAAGGGGGAGAGGAAAATAAATGGGAAGAGAGAGAGGGGTGTAGCTGGAGGGAGTGATGGGATGCACTCATGGGGCTGGAAAGCTGGGTTGTGATGGGGTGTGTAACTGGGGAGTTTCCAGGAGTTAACATACCCTTTCCAGAAGTTAACACACCATTTCCAGGAGTTAACACCCCCTTTCCCAGGAGTTATCGCCTCATTTCCCAGGAGTTAACACCCCATTTCCAGGCAGTTCTCACCCCATTTCCAGGAGTTAACACCCCATTTCCCAGCAGTTAACCCCCATTTCCAGGAGCTAACATCCCCTTTCCTCCCCAAGTGGTGAAGCCCAGCGGTGTGCACCTGAAGCTGGTCCTCAGGTTCCAGGATTTTGGGAAAGCCATGTTCAAGCCCATGAGGTAAGGCCAGCAGAGCCCCCTGAGCCCCTGCAGTTCCTTGGCACGGGAAGGTCCCAGCCACACCTTCCCTGTCCTGCCCTCCCTACCTGGGCAGCTGAAAAGGTTCCATTATTTTTCATTTTTCTTGGCTGCTCACACCACCCAGGAGCACACGTGGATAAACACCAGTGTTCCCACACTGCTGTTGATGTTGGAAATTCCTCAGTTCTTGGGTGCCAGGTGGAGAAGGACACTTGTTCTCCTGAGATCTTTGCCGTGAGGGACTGCTCTTCCCCAGCAGATTTTGGGGTTTACCTTGGTTTTCCTTGGATTCCCCAGAGTGTTTCCATAACACAGGCATCAAACAGGGGATTTAAATTGCTTCTGTTCTTATTTTCAGCCCCTTGGGACTGTTCACATCTACTCCCTCTCACTTTACTGTCCATGTGTGACAGAGCAGCTGGCAGCACGTGGGCTGGGATAATAAATCCTCACCCAGAGGGCAGCCAGCTCCTCTCCCCTGGGTTTCCATCCACCTCTGCCCAGTGGCCACCAGCTCCTGCAGGGGAAGGAGAGCATCCATGGCCTGCTGAGCCAGGAGGGCTTTCCTGTGTCCTACCCCATTTCCAGGAGTTAACATCCCATTTCCCACTGTGTGACAGCCAGAAAATGGAATTAAATGGAGCTCCCACCTCAGGGATAGGAGAGCATCAGACCTGAGCCCTCCTCTGCCTCCAGGGGGATGTGACAAACACCACCTGAAACTTTGTCCTAAGGGGGTCTAAGCTCTTGCTGAAGCAGATTTAAAGCCCCAGTCAGCTCTTCTGCCTCCCCCAGCCACCTGGCAGCACCAGGGTGCAGTGCTACTGCCTGGCACGGTGGGTGATGGCTCCAGCTGGGCACTGAGCCCTTGGGCTCTGACCCTGTCCCTGAGCCTGCCTGCTGTCCTTGTGCCACCACTCAGTGTCCAGGCTGCCCAGCAGCTTGGTTAGGCTCACCCCCTGCTTTCTCCCAGGCAGAAACGTGAGGAGGAGACTCCTGAGAATTTCTTCTACTTCGTGGACTTCCAGCGGCACAACGCCGAGATCGCCGCCTTCCACCTGGACAGGTAGGGCTGGCCCGGCCTGGGCTGCCTCCTCCTGCTGCTCCTCTGGCCACCAGAGCTCTGGGAAAAGCCTGCAGGGCTCAGGGGAGGGAAAGGAGAAAGGGGAAAGGAAAGGAATCCTCCAGGAGATCCTCCTGGCTCTCATCTGACACTGCAGAGTCAGCTTTGCCTTGGCCACTGCATGGCAGCAGGTGCAGTCCAGGCTGGAACAGGTCAGATTCTCACCTGGCTGTCACACACTGTCCCTCCCCTGCATCCAAGTGGCAATCTGGGCTCTGGGTGCCCTGCTGGTGAGGGAGGCACACACTCCATCAGCAGTCAAGGTGTGCTTTGGGTTGATAAACTGCAGCAATGCGGTTTTAAGCCCTGAGATAATGAGCAATTAACCTGGCACCTCTTCCCAGCAGGGTGTGTGTTTAATAAAATCAAAAATACTCTTCTCAGAAGATGAGGGCAGCAGACTTTCTCTCCTCTGAACACCAGGGGAAGGTGATCTCTGATGGTCAGGGTGGGTGGGGATCTCCAGTTTCCATGGGATAAGCAGGACTACATTAAGTCCTGTAGCTCAGACTCTGAGAAAGGGAACAAAGGGAGCTGAATTCCCTTCCCAGCTCTGCCTCAACATCCTCACAGGGACTGTGCTTGACTCAGCCACCACCACCTCGCCCCTGCAGCTCCACTGCCACAAAAATGAGGCCAGACTGCTTTTGTGAAGGGCTTTGTGGTTTTTAGAGCTGAAAGATGCTGGATAAAAGCAAATATTTTTTTCTCTCTCAACATTGCTCAATAAGTAGCAGGCTAAATCCTGTTCTGTGCCCAATTCCCAGGAGCAGGGGGCATTACCCAAGGAGCCAAGCAGAGCACTAGCCAGTTCTCCCTGTTACTGACTCAGCAATCAGCAGCATTCCCACTGACTGCCAGGAATGCTTTCCTGCCCCAGGCCCTGAGGTTTTTAAGAGTGTTTTTGAGGAATTAGCTGGGCATGAGTGCCTCTGGAGGAGGGGGTGCCTCCTCAGCCACGTTGTACCAGGATCAACATCTTTGGTCCATGCCAAACCAACATTGTAGAAGGGTCTGAAGGGCTGCTCTGGCCCTTGGAGGACCCTGTTTGTGTGCAAAGGGTGGGAGAAACCAAGGCAATGTTAGGGAAAGAGACAGGAATGCTGGAGAACATCCAGATTGTTCCAGGCAGCAGCTATTAAAATACCAAAATCCAAACAGAGTTGTATTTTGGCCCAGAGGGGGTTTTGCTGGAAAGAGTCTGGGTGCAGCGATCCAGAGGCTCCTGGTTCTCTGATGGAAGGGGCAGGGGCAGCGCCTGCCACCCCCGTGTGCAGCAGCATCCCTTGGCACCAGCGCCTGTCCCCTCTGTGCAGGATCCTGGATTTCAGGAGGGTGCCACCCACGGTGGGGAGGCTGATCAACGTCACCAAGGAGATCCTGGAGGTCACCAAGAACGAGGTCCTGCAGAGCGTCTTCTTCGTCTCACCAGGTGGGCAGGAGGCAAATTATGGTCCCAGTTGTCTTTGAGGTCCCTTCACACCTAACCCAAACCTGTGGTGCTCCATGGTGGGAGGAAGGGCAGGGCTGCAGGAAAAGGGGCTGCAGGACTCGTGCTGTGCTGCAGTCTCACAGCCATGAGTTCAGCAGCTTTTCAGCAGCACAAAATGGCCAACAATCTCTTGTTACAAGGTCTTTTAAGACTAAGCTATCCAATTAAGAACTGGCACCTAGATTATTTTCCCTTTTAACCCAATAACTGATCCCAAAGAGCCCCAATGTGGGCTTTTCTGCCCAATTACAAAATGCCACCCAAACCCAAGAAGAAGAAGAAAGAAGAAGCATGAAGGAGAAACCCAGGACAACACCCTGTGCCCTCCATCCTGCTCCCATCCAACATACTAAAACTCCCAAAACCTAAATTTCCCACCAAGTGATCCACCTACACTACTCTCTATAATCTATTTCACACTTTTGTGGGTCCTAGTCTATCTTGAAGTCCAGGAAGCTTTCTCCATGAATGAGGGTCAAAGTTAGTGCTTCCCTGGGAGTCAGGGCACCCCAGAGCAGACAGGGAAATATTCCCAGTGCTCTGGGTTTCCACAAAGGGCAATGGGCTTTTCTTAGGAGTGTAGTGTAGTATAAAATGATAAAGCAATCAATTGCAATAAACAATTGATCAGGGTCAAAGTCAGAGCTCCCCTGGAGGTCAGGGCACCCCAGAGCAGACAGAGAAGTATTCCCAGTGCTCTGGGTTTCTACAAAGGGCGATGGGTTTTTCTTGGAAGTGTAGTATAAAATAACAAAGCAACCAATTGCACTAAAACAATTGATCAGCCTTCTGCAGTCATGGAGTCAATGCACATTGTTCCCCATTTAGGGGTTTGCTGCCACAATAGCCCCCTCCTGGAGACCACAGCCCCTTCTCCTGTTCTCTGCTCTCCCCCCAGCCAGCAACGTCTGCTTCTTCGCCAAGTGCCCGTACATGTGCAAGACGGAGTACGCCGTGTGTGGGAGCCCCCACCTCCTGGAGGGCTCCCTCTCTGCCTTCCTGCCCTCCCTCAACCTGGCCCCGCGGCTCTCCATCCCCAACCCCTGGATCCGCTCCTACTCCTTCGACGGGAAAGAGGAGTAAGTGGGTAAATGAGGCTGCTCCCTGGTCTGCACTGCAGGGCACGGACACACGGACAGAGCTGCAGAAATAACCCAGGCCAGCTTCAGGGAGCCCACAATTAGTGTAATAATTAGTGTAATAATTAGTGTAATAACCCTTAAAGCCTGGGCATTGGCTGTGTTTCAGTTCCAGTCTCCTGCATGCACAAGGGGAGATTTGTTTCCTCCTCCTGTACATCTTCACATGGAAGATGGGTTTTGGGGTATTTTTGGGACGTGGCAGAAGGAGGTGAGGATGTCTCCTTTTCTCCATCTCCTGCAGGTGGGAAGTGAATCCACTCTACTGCAACACAGTGAGGGAGATCTACCCCTACAGCAACAGCAACCGGCTGCTCAACATCGTGGACATGGCCATATTCGACTTCCTGATAGGTAATGGGGAGGGAAATAACCCTTTCCCTTTCCCTTTCCCTTTCCCTTCGAGGGGCTGCTGTCTCCCCACAGCCCCTCCAATGTGGGGGCACAGGGGAGCCCCCAGACCCACTCCAACAAAGGGAAAGCAGCACCTTGGGTACTTCCAGCATGGCAAACAAATACTGCATGCAGATCTGAAGGAAATCTTGGGATAATTTATAGAATTCCCTGCAAGGCAAGCTGTGTCCTGTGTGTGGCCTTTGCAGGGAACATGGACCGGCACCACTACGAGATGTTCACCAAGTTTGGGGACGATGGCTTCCTGCTGCACCTGGACAATGCCAGAGGGTGAGGCAGCGGGATGTCTTGGGGAGGGTGAGGAAGAGGAGGAGGAGGAGGGCAGGCTCTGAACTCTGCTTCCCCCCCAGGTTTGGGCGCCATTCCCACGATGAAATCTCCATCCTGGCCCCGCTCTCCCAGTGCTGTGTGTAAGTTCCAGCTGCAGCTTCCTTGCCAGGAATGTCCAAGTTCCTGTTCCTGCTGTCACTGGGGAGGTCACCCTGGCCTGGCTTCCTCCAGCAGCTCAAGGAGGACCCTTCCAACCCCATCCTGGATTAGCAGGAGCATGGGAATCACGAGTGGAAAAATATCCACTGGCACACCAGGAGATGTTGTGCAATGGATCAAACCCTTCCAGAAAGTTCTAACAGCCTTTCCCAGCCCATCAGCACGAGGCGCTCTCAGGAATCACAGAAATCTCCATCCAAAATCCTGGTGGAACTTTGATGCATTTAATCAAGCTTCCTCTTCTCATGGCATGAAGGAGAAGCTCGTAATTTTAACCCTATGTTCCTCTTCATTAATTCCCATAAATCAGCAGCTGCAAGTTCAATTTAAGAGGCAGAAGCAGCTGCTGTTTCCTAGGGTTTGTCTTCAGGAGATGTGGAGCCTTTTTCCTTGCTCTACCTGCTCCTTCTCTCCCTCGGGGTGGTAACTGCACTCTTCCCACACACCTTTAATTTCAAGAACTGTTATTTTCACTCAGCAAGTCTTTTCATTTCTAATTGCAGGCTCACAGGGAATCCTTCTCTTGAAATTTTGTGCAGTTTGAAATTAACTCTGCCTCTTAATTTGACCATCATACCATAATATCCACAGGTCACAGCATTCCTATTCTTCCACATCCACCTCCCAGAAACTCCTCTTAATTTAATTCTTGGCAGTGGTAAGAGGACCTGAACACCTTGTCATAGCAAACAAGGGCCAGGAACAGCATAAAAACAACTCGTGCTGCCTGAGGGAGACACACAAACCCTCATTCCCACAAGAGCCGATCCATTGGGAGTGGGAGAGCTCCTAAAACTACTTGGGAAGGAAAGGAAGAGGTTTTACTTGAGTAAGCACACAGAGGCCACAAATTTCAGCCTGCCCTGACCACCAACCTGGACTCAGCCAGCCGAGTCTCCTCCTTGCTCCCACACCAAGCTGAGCCATGTCAGCAGGGAAGCTCCTGCAGCCAGGAGCACCGGGATGCTGAGAGCAGGCTGTTGAACACATCCACCTCATTCCCAGCTCAGTCCTGCTCCAAGCCTGGCTTCCAGCAGATTTGAGTCTGTTTTATCTGCCTCTCCCAGCCTGTCCCACACGTTGAAGCCTGCAGGTCTCCTCTCCCACACGAGTGGCACAAATACAGCCCTGCCATGAGATGGTCCTTTCCCTGAAAGCATCCCAACCCTCCTGGAGGCACAGGAGGCCTGGCAGCAGCCCCAGTCAGGCTGCTGGAGTCCCTGGAAGGCTCGGGGTGAAAGGTTCAGCAGTCCAGCCCAGCCACAGGGTCACAGCCCCCGTGGGAGCGGAGCGGGGCTGGCGGCGGCGTTTCCATCTCAGCCCTGTCTGTGCTCTGTTTGTTTGTTGTGTAAGTGTTCCAGCCCTCCATCAGCTGCTCCCCACGGGTCACAGCAGCCCTCTCTCCACCTCCAAGCACTGCTGGGACCAGAGCAAACACAGCTGGTGTTTACCCACAGCAGCTCCGGGCCGGCCCTGCCTCGAAGGACAGCGCACAGATCTCGTTCACATCTGCTCTGGGCACAGCCTCCCCTGGCAGCAGCAGCAGCAGCACCTCACAGCTGGGCTTTAAAGCTTCCTTGTCAGCCCTCACACTTGATCAATTGATTATTTTAGGTTTTTCAGGAATATTAATGCGGGAAGGTGATGCCTGGCCCTGTGGCAGCAGCATCTTCCTTCTCTTGTGCCACTTGCTCCACACACTCTCCTGATTTAGATTGGATATTAGGAAAAGATTTCCTGGAAAGGGTAGTAAAACATACCAGTAGGGTAGTAAAACAGTGGCACAGGCTGCCCAGGGAAATCATGGAGTCACTGTCCTTGGAATTCTTCAAGTGATGTGTGGATGTGGCACTTGGGGACGTGGTTTGATGGTGCTGGGACAGCAGCTGGACTTGATGATCCTAAAGGTTCTTTCCTACTTTAATGATTGTCCCCAGCATCTGGAGCAGCCACAACCCTTTCCCAAACAGGACATGGCGTGTTGGAGCTGCAGAGATCCAGATCAACGTTCCCAATGGATGCCCTGGATAAACAACAGCCTAAAAATACAAATTCTTGAGCTGCCTAAAATGGATCTGACTTCACCTTTTTCCACCTGAAAATTCTGACTGGGCTGAATCCAAATGGTTCCATAAACATGGACCACTTTGTTTCCAAGATTCAAAGGGCAATAACTACAGCCACTGATTTATTTCAGTATTATACATGCTGAAGTCAACACATTTCTGCTGAGGATTAAACAAATGATTTCAGAACACTTCATTTCATGCCCAGAAGCATTCAAAGACTGCAGCTTTTCATCCCATTTTCTGTCAAAGCAAATCACATTTGAATCTCAGTACCCCCTAAGGTGAAAAGTCACAGTTACATCAGTTCCAGGAAATATTCCCTCTTTTTGCTCAGAGTTTTGACAGAAGATATTTTCTCATTCATGTCTTTTCATTTACCTCCCCCTCTGCTCCCATCTCATAAATGCCATCCTTGGGGAGATGACACCACCCTGCAGGAACCTGGGGAACTGGGTCATCTCTGACTCACTCACTACTGAGAACTTCACTCATGTTTTTCTCTCTGCTGCCAGAAATTTGTAGTACAAATACTCTGGAAAAACAAAGGGAGAAATAGAGGTTTCTGCAAAAAAAAAAATCATTACCTTCCAAAATTAAAATTATAGAACTTTTGTTCCAAAGTTCTTTAAAGTCCTTCACCCATCTGTGCCCTGCTGCTGTCAGGGAGCTCAGCTGCTCTTGCTGGCAGGCATTAATTGTTGATTTGTTTTTTGCAGAATAAAGAGAACGACGCTGCTGCGCCTGCAGCTCCTGGCGCAGCCCGAGTACCGGCTCAGCGACGTGATGAGGGAATCCCTGCTGCAGGACCCCCTGGCCCCCGTGCTCACCGAGCCCCATCTCCTGGCCCTGGACAGGCGGCTACAGCTCATCCTGCAGGCCGTGGGGAAGTGCATTGACACCTTCGGAGAGGCCACGGTGGTGGCCAACGACACCAGGCAGCCCCAGAGCCCTGCAGTGCACAGAGCCAAGCTGGACACTTAGGGCTCCGAGCCACGAGAGCCCTGCCAGGCAAGGGGCAGCTCCAGCAAGTGCTCATTTCCACCCACAAACACTCACAGAGACTCTGAGGGGAGATGGCAGAAGATCAAGAGTCCCACTGGGCTCCTCTGTGTTTAAGCAGAGCTCCTGTGCTCAGGCAGTGCTGGCGTGGCTGCAGCTGATCTCAGCACCCCAACACAGCTCTGGGGTGGAAAAGCTGTGATCTCCAGGTCTGGAGCTGGCTGTGCCCTTGGGAGGCTGAAGGAACACCTGACCTTGGTTTGCTCAACCTCCACAGGGGCTTGGTCTTGCTGGAGAAGGACACGAACTCGACCCGAGGGTGAGGGTTGAATAAAGAGATGCCAAGAGCATTTTCCTCTTAGTAAGTCTTTGTTCTGTGGTCAGGAGTGTATATTTGAGAAATACCTGCCCCTGGCACAAGACAGGGGTCCAGCTTGTTCACAGCAGAGGGCATTGTGAGAAACACAGTAAAGGTAAGAAGACTTTCAGAAAGCTGAGAAAGCAGGCTCAGAAACAGAAAGAGCAAAAGAACTCAGAGCTAGCTGCAGCTGCAGAGTCTGAAAGAAGAAAAATTGCAACAGTACAGCAAGCAAGGACATAAAACAATAGTTTGAGTTTTAGGCTTGGCTAAGATAGACCTTAAGGCACTACACGTGCTCGCTGTCAGGAGCAGGGTCACCCCAGCCCACAGCGACCTGTGCACATCACACAAAGCCTCACAGGCACTGAAAGCACTTCCCTGACCTGCCTGAAGGGCCAGCTTGGATACAGAACACAGGCAGGTCTGTGTTACCTTGGACCCCAAGGGAAAAAACCCAAACTAAAAAAATCATCCTGCAAATCAAAGCACTCTGAGACACAGGACTGTATTTACAATTCAAGAACCCACCCATTTCTGGGGAAAACATTTTGCCAAAGCAGGGGGAATCTATCTCAGATCCTCATGTCTTTTAAAATCATTTTCTCCTCATATCTTTTAGTCATTTAGGCTGTCATAATTAGCTGGAAAATAGAAATGGCTATGCCAGTCTCTCCCCCCTCTCTAAGCCTGTGCGTTTTGAGGAGATGCAACAGAAAATGGGGACCAAAACTAAGTGTGGGGAGGGAGTTTTTGTGGGTATTTCAGTTCCCAGCTGACCTTTCACCTCCCAACAACAAGGTTTAAGAATAACTGGATTAGTGAAGCTCTCCTTAATAGCTTTTTCCTTTAACTATTAGGAATTACTACACTGAGCCTTTTGGCAGCCCGGGGAAAGTACTTGAGGACTCTGTTGATAATTTATCATCCTTAAGAGGGAAAAAAAAGCCAACAAGAAACCCCACACCATAACCAATCTACCAGAAACTCATTCTAAACTAACCTCTAAGTTAAACAAAAGCCACCTACAGCACTGCAGACCTTCCAGAGGGTCCCCAAATCCCTGCACAAAAGCTGCCAGGCAGCATTTCAACAGGATCCAGCAGCTCTGTGCCACGGGCTGGAGTTTTGCCTGACCTAAAGGGAGCTCAGAGACACCAACAAGTGCCTGGATGATGCAAGAAGGAACAAAGCTCATTTGGCCACAGCTGTTTGTCACAGGGGATTGTGCTGGTGCTTCGTTTAACTCCTCAGTGATCTGATAATGCACCTGGCTCCAAACTGCAAAGCCACGGGAGAGGTGCAGTCTGATCTGAGCGTGTCCATTTGTGTGTTGGAGGAAGTTTGGAGTGTTTCTTAATGAAGAAATTCCTCCAGTATTCTGAGGCCACAAAGGTGAGCAAAACCCCCACATAAACCCCTCATAAAACCCCACCAAAAACCCCACTCCAGGCTCCTTTAGTCTGTCCCAAATCGTGGTTCAGACAAGTCCTTGCATTTCCAACTTCTCCACAGTCTCAAGCAGATTCTTGACCTTTTTACTCTTGGGACTTACAGATGTTTTTACTCTTGTGGGCAGAGAACAGATGAAAATAAGAGGATTTGACTCCCTCTCAGCACTTTACTCTGTTGGTTATTTCTGTACAGAACAGTGAATTCCCAAAGTTTTATCTCCCTCTACCGGTGACTTTTGTGCTCTCCCCACACAGGAGAAACCCAGAATTAATTCCATCTTTTGTGAAAATAAGAGGATTTGACTCCCTCTCAGCACTTTACTCTGTTGGTTATTTCTGTACAGAACAGTGAATTCCCAAAGTTTTATCTCCCTCTACCGGTGACTTTTTGTGCTCTCCCCACACAGGAGAATTAATTCCATCTTTTGCCATGGAATGGTGACTGTTTGCTGCTTCAACAGGAAGCAATGGCAACAGAAGATAAGCTTAAATTTAAGTTGTAGTTATGAAGTATGTATTTATAGTAATAAGGCTGGAAATGGAGGGTTTAAAGTTTCACTTTAGGTAATAAAAGTTCTGTTTTTTTCAGTGGAGGGCAGGTGAAGGAAAGTAACCCATGGATATTTAAATGGCTGGTTCAGGATTCCTCTTATTTTTATTCTCCTCTACATGACAGATACATTTTTGCTGGGCCTTCAAAGCTGGGTGACTCAGCTTTCTTGGAGCTGCCTGTAAAACACATCTAAGTCTGAGCTGCTTCAGGTCACTCTTCAAATTGTTTTCCTGCTTCCCCACAGCTGGAAACCCCCCTTTTCCATTTCCCACCACAACTTATTCATGATTATCCATCCCATGCTCATTAAGGGGTTGCAGAGATGGGAGCAGCCAACTCAGAAATCCAAAAATCATGGCTGGGCTGGGAATGAACACCTTGGGAGAGATGAAAGTTGCCAGGAGCCAAACAGGGCACAGGTCCAAGTGCAGAGGAATTCCCAGGCTGGCACGTGGAGGCTGAGCTCTCCCCAGGCTCCAGGGGGAAGCCAGGACCTGAACTCACCCCTCTGGAGTTTACACCAAGCTAATCCATTAAGCTGCTTATTTTCTGCTGCCTCATTCATAACACATCCTCTAAAGCCAAAGGAAAACACGACGTAGGGCCAGGGAATAAAATAAAAGAGGCTGATTGCATTTAAGAATTTAAATCATTTTATTGCTTTACCTGCCATTAGGACAATCTATAACAAAAGGAATATAATATAATATATTAGCACATACAGTAAATCAGACTTATAGTCAGGTAACAATACAAAAATGGTCCTCTGGTTGACTATAGCTTCCTAGGGCAATAGACTTCATCAATTTGCTGAAGATAGACTAGCAAAAAATTACTTCTAAAGCCCTGAATGTTAGCTAAGGCAAAACTATGCCAATTGTGGTTTCAAACATATTGAAATTGCACACAAAGGTAAAGCTATAACTGTGTTTAATATTTAACTCAGACTTAGCTGATTTATCTTAAAATCTTGTAGGTAAAACTACAAAAGGGAGTAAACAGCAAGCTAAAAAGATGCAGTAGTGAAACTTGATTAGAAAGCCTTATATAAAAAAAATGTGCATTTTTGTTGTGGAGCTCTAACTGGTTTACACAGTTTTTGGTGCTTCAATGTAACACAAAACACATATGAAGAAAAAAACCTGCAGAGTCAAAACTTAAGAAAAAGGTTTTACAAAAAAAAAAAGAAAAAAAAGAACCAAAACAAGGTAGCATTTGTTTATTCCTTAAGGACTCTGGCAGAAATCCTCTATTCAACATCTCTTGAATAGAGAACTCAAACCACAAGCATTTCAATCCCCTTCCTGGGATTTCAGTTTCAGAAATACCCTGAAACCTTTTGTAAAGGCTTGATACCTTCAGTATTACTCTGCATGAATTAGCAGACTCTTCCTGATTCTCTCCACGCCTGGGAAAACGTTGGATTTGCATCCACTGCACCTCAGAAAGGAAATAAAACGAGGGCTCCATCGTTAAAGTAGTTGCACAACAAATGCCAAACTGCTTGCTGTCACTCCCAAATACAAACCTATGCTACTTGATATAAATTACAGTTTAAAGGAAACCTTAAAAATTGCCTACAATTATTGAACCGTGGAATTCAGTAAAAACTTTTGGGAAGTCTTGGTGAGCACAGAGTAATGGAACACAAAGCTGGGAAATACTGAAATACATTTAAGACTCCGCAACAGATTGAACTTGGGGGGGAAAAAAAAAAGGATTAAATAAGTGTGGTGGAAATTCCATAAGCAAGAAGAGAGAATGCACCTTTTGGCTTTGAACTAGATTTATAGTGAACCATTTTTAAAATGATGAACTGACAGCTCTAAAAACTTAAAACAACTGAGTGTTGCAGGAAAGTTCAAACATTCAGGTTTTTTGCCTCACATTCTCTACCAAGAATAATGGAGCTCTATAAACCAGCAACCTTGTCACCTGCAACTGATACTGGCCAAAACACCCAGCATTTATTTTCCCTGGTAACAAAGTGTCACTTGAACTGATGGTGATTTTTTTAAAAGTCAACTGAGGATTAAGAGAACAATTCACAGGGAAAATCAAATGTTTGCTTTCGACTTCTACACCAATCTAAGCACTCAAACAGTACTAACAGCTGGACAGCTGCACCATTCTTACACCAATCTATGTACTAGAGATCAAAGTCAGGCATTTCATGGAGCATTTGGTTCTTGCCACTTAGAACAGGAAGAGTTTTAAATGGCAAATCTATGGCTGGAGAAAGAACAAGTGGAAAAGAACAGTTGCGGCAAGTCAGCAAATGGATCAACAGCTGAAGTAGTTCACCAGAACTATTAACCTGGAAAGCTTTTGATTTACACTTGACAAGAACAGAACTAAGCAATCTTAAACCAGCAGACACAGGAACAATTATACTGGTAAATTCCAACTGTGGCTTTCTTAGCAGCTGATGCCTCACGATTGAACCTAGGATTACAGTACCCAGAAAATGAAAACGAAACCCAGAAAACCCCAAGCCCCAAGAAGCTCAATTACAAGGGTAGCTCTTGTGTGAAAAGAAATACAGCAGGTGATGACCACAGCCTTAAAATCTGTCCAATCATTTGAGAAACACCTTTAAAAGAACTTTTTTCCCCCCTTTACTGCACCTCCTCACTCTATGGCAATGGCGTGGTGCCAGGAGGTCTCTCCCTTGCTGAGCACTGGCCTGAGTTGGACACTGGTGCACAGAGAGAAGCAAATGTCTCCACTGAACTTTTTCTATTAATTTAATGGGACAGAGAGCACAGAAATAATATGCTCTAAATTAATGACAGTGCCATGATAAGCAGGTTTTTTCCCTTTTTTTTTTTTTTTTTTTTTTTTTTTTTTTTTTTTTTTTTTAACTGGACAGGAAGCTGTAAATGCCAGTGGTGATGTGGCTCTGCACAAGGGGAAGGAAGCAGTCTGCATTCGTGAAGCATGGCTTGGACAGGGAGGAGGGTTTCAGACAGACAGTGATACAAA